TAACTTCGAAGGCTTTTGTTTGCTTTTTAAATATGAAATACATATGTACAATTATAGTTTTTTCATGTGTTCCATATTTCAAAATGGGAAGCAATTATCCTGTCAGTTTTCGGTCCACCAAAGGCTGCAAAAAGGGTTTTAACTTTCCCATCCCTACATTAAAACATATATCCAATGATAATCCATCACAATTTCATTTACGTTAATTTTATCCTACATCTGTCAAAGCACAGTGCATAAAATGTGTATTAGGTGTAAACATTTATGCCTTCAATATAAGAGAGCTGAGTCCTCAACAGAATGGCCATGGCAACCTCTCTTGGTGTTCTCTTGGCTCCCTGCCCCATCACCTCTGGCAACTTCAGTAAGCATTCTACAAATTGACATACTGAAAAAAACCTCCACAGTAATACAAAATGAGAATCAACACAAATTAGATTATCAACAAGTAGTATGGAAGTAGTCATGGGAATGATCTGGTAGAAGCAAAGTAAACAGGAACATTATGGTGTCCTGTAACTGAAATTTTTCTCCTCATGGATGCAGCTTCCTAGATTGGATTGTTCAAATTTCACTCAGCATTAATTTGGAAACCACTTTTCCCATTTATATTTCATATCTTTTACACTATTCAATATTACTCTGGTCTCTGTTAAACCTACCTGTGATTCTTATTTCCTTTAACTTTTTTTAATCATTTTTTTTTTTAGCCAGGGAACATTTGTTTAAGGTTAAACTAAACATGTAGCTACATGCTTTGACATAAGTGGCCACTTCAGAGTGTCCCTCATTGAGAAACTATAGTGCCCTAATTATACAAGGAGGTGTGCACTTAGCTGCAATATAAGTGATTCTCCTCAGATTCTCAGAGGAGAATCTGAAACAGGTTGATTATAATGAACTATCACATTCATGCCATACTTTAATTCCTTTTAGTGACTAGCATAAGTAATAAGAATAATACAAATAATTAAGTCCTGGTCTAAATAGACTTTAGTGTAATAGGGTGTGTGCGCCAGGAACTGTGGCACAAGTGGCTTTGAAGTACTTTCTCCATTCCAAATTTTCACAGTTGAGTCCAATCCACAGAAGCTCTGGGGAAGTCCATGTACACTCTGTTTATAAAATGTGAAAGGTGAAAAGCTGATACAGTATTGTGAACACTGATAAAAATGAAGAAAAATGCTCACATTTACAGCAATAGCAAGAAAAAAAAGGAATATTGCAAGGGAATCTTCATTTTATAGACTTTGATACCTTCTGAGCAGCAGTTTCGCATCTGAGGTAATTCATATCAATCTGTAATATAATTATACCAACCACACAAATGGGGCAATTGTATCATTTGTATGACATTATCACACAGATGATATAAATGGCCATAATTAAGTCCTGTGTTTAACATGACATTTGTAAAGAATAAACCCTCAATTGGTGCATCAAAAGTAGAGTATACTGTAATTAACTAATTTTTTGTCTTCAGGTCTACTTTGGGGGGCCTTTTGTTGCCAAATTAGGAAAATCGTTTATATATATGTAAGGGCACATTTTCTCTGCAGGAAAGTTACCAATATTGATATCACAAACTAAGATTAAGAACTGAATTATTTTTCTTAGGAGACAATAGGAAGCAAATAAATATTAAGCTATGTTTGTTGGTAAGTGTGGTGGTAGTTAAGGAGTTGTATTTTGTTTTAAGCTTTTACTTGTTTTATTTTTATTTTTACTTATATTCTTAATCTTTTTCTAATTTAAGGTGTCTCTCATATTCTATAGTTTGGCCAAAGATACAATCAATCTGAAACGACTAAGAATTTAGGTTACTTCTTAATATGAAGATGGAACAAAGCACACTATCCTTTTTTAAGTGCTAGATTCATTGATTTATCAAAAGTATTTCTTTTCCTGTCACAAGGGAATTCTTATCCAGTATTTGAATTTTTTAAATACATTTTTATTGGGTTATAAAGTATTATAAAATGAAAAATACAAAATACAAAAGCAAATATGAGGACAGGAAGAGGAAAGGGGAAAGGCAAAGAAAAGTGAGGAAGGGTAAGGAAAGAAAAAGAAGCATTGACTTCTCACTCTGTCTGTTACAGTGTAATAAGGCAATAACAACAAATCACAACTTTTTGTTTTACTATAATAGTATGAACCAGTCATTTCTACAAAAGTCCAGAATCAAAGTTTCATTATTTTCCACATCAAGCATGAAGTTCAGAAGTGGTTTCCATGTGGAAACAAAAGTACTTATGTTCTTTGAGCAGAGTAGTCAATTTTTCCATTTCAGCCAACTCCATCAGCTTTTTCAACCATTCTTCTATAGTAGGAATCGAAGTGTCTTTCCATTTTTGCGCACACAGTAATCTTGCTGCTGTCAACATATATAGTAACAAAGTTCCAATTTTTTTTCTCCAATTCTTTTTCCATTAGATCCAAGAGGAAAAGTTTTGGTTCCATATTTATCTCTATTTTCAGGATTTTCTGTATTAAGATGAATCCCAGTCCAAATTTTTTTGTGCTTTATCACATGTCCACTATAAATGGTAAAAGGTCCCTTCTTTCTTTTTATACCTCCAACATATATTTGACATAGTTTTATACATCTCAGATAACTTATCTGGTGTTAAATATCAACAATACATCAACTTATAAAAATTCTCTTTAAGCCTATTATTATTATTATATTATTATAATATTATATCCAATGGAATTTGAAAAAAATGGGAATGAGCCATTTGGAGCCAGCCAGTTTTAAACGAGGAGTTTTGTCAAGGCAAAATGCACTAAACTAAAATAACACTCTATCTAGAAAGCCAATGTGACAAATGTGTTGCCTGCTGTAAAAATGTCTTAGTTTCTGTTCCATTCCACTTATAATATTAAATAGATATTGAAAAGCAACATAAATCCCTATTGTTTTGTCACAAAGGAAATTAAATCCTGCAGTGCAGCTGATGGACTTCTCACTGCTTCATTAAGTAGAGAACATTTAATACTAATTTGACAGGAGGAAAAAAAAACCTTCCTTGCAAAGTACATCAGGAAAAATATTACAAAAATGGAATTAAAAGGTTGTACATACTGCTGCACTGAAATTAATAGTTTATTTTCTCACTGCTATGATGTTGAGGAACCATTCATTCCCTACACCAGTAAAATCAATTCTACATCTTTCAGCCTGAGTTATGCAATGAATTGTTTAAAAACCTATTTATAATTCTGATGGAATCACAACCAATACTTGACTGGCAAATTAATGATTTGCTATATCTTCATACATTAAGGCTTCTCAGAGCATTGAATATACATAGAAGATACCTTGAAGCTAGGAGAAGTTGCCGCAAAGGATATATTATTAACATATTGAAATTGTCAGTGCAGAGTAGTGGCCTCTTTGTTGGAGTGTCAACATACACACACTCAAGCAAAAGAAACAGTTTTGTGTTTCCCCGTCATCTAGGCCACTTTGACCAGAGGTACTCAGCAATAACATTGAGGCCAGGCCTGACTTCAGCCCTATTGCCACTGCTACCACTCAACAAGGCTGCCTTGCACTGTTCACCAAGGTGTGCGAGCCTTGGGAATGAATGCTACATTTGCCTCTATGGCACAGCACTGGCCAGAATCTACTGTGTGCTACTCACCTTCAGCACTGTTCTCCTTCTGTTAGCAGGCTATGGTAGCTTAATGGAGACTGTTTCAAGACACACAAAGACCTTTGTTCCTGAAGCAACTTCAGAGAATGGCCTCAACTCAGTCTCTGCAAACCACATGAAACATACCCCGTTCTCGTGTGATTTTCAGAAGCTTTGGTGGCTTCATGGGAATTTCCCAGCAGCACATTAGGAGTTGAAGTCCACCTATTTTAAAGTTGCCAAGTTTGAAATACAGTGACCTAAACTATGGCTAGGCTACCCCACCCCACCATTGTAGAAAAACCAGCATTTTTTTTTTACGGCGTTGCATTGGTTAACAAGACTTCAAGATCCAAGTGCTGATTATCACTTACAAAGCACTATAAACTGAAGCTGGAGGATACATCAGACATCATCTTTACAAAAGTACACTTGCCCATCTGGTCTAAATATTTCTAGAGGGCCTGCTACATATGGTGTATTGTAGGCAGTGGGCACTTCTTTGCAGCATCCCTCCATGCTTCCTTTGGTTTTACATTATATTCGTTACCTCCTTAAGGTGCTAAAATTACAGTATCCTTGTTGCTTTCTGTCTTTGCCCAAACTGATTGCAGATCTTGGATGTGTCTGATTAGTTCTAGGGTTAGATTGTCAGTCAGATCCATACTTTCTGTGCTAAAAGACATGATCTATTCATTGACAGTCACCCAGGGTCACTTGGATAACTGTCTAAATTTGATAAATAAAATGATTTCAAGTTTGTTTGTCTCTCTGATACAAAGGAACTAATTTAAAACCTAATCTGTTCACAATCATGGCATTTCAACAGCAGGGTGGGGGTGGGGAATAGAAAAGAAAGCAAAAGAGCTAAAATGACGTTCTGTATTGCAGCCACGAGCTTCGTTACTCAAGATTGATTTAAGCGTCTAGTGTTATGATTTGAAGTCTTCTGTCTGGTCCGAAAAATGAGCGGGAGGCAGCGCGACAGCTGATTGGCTACAATATCTGACAGCGCGCTATATAGAACGCTGTCAGACGCGATCAGCTGTCGTCTGTCAACCGCTGTGTTAGCGCGTGGTTTGACATTTACCCCTGTTAGCTTTTAAATAAAAAGGTTACCCTGAATCTGCTGGCCTGTCTCAGTAATTCCCCCTTAAATATAATATCTATCTTTAGCAATTGGCAGCCTAGGATTTCAGGCTGACATTCTACGTCCAAAGGATGGCTTTCCCGCCTTTTAGTCAGCCTTCCCCTCCCGCCTAGCCTCCGAAGGGCTCAAGGGGTTAAAAGGCCGCTTGCACGGCGAGGAAATCCCACCTTCTGCGCCTCAGATTGGCTCAAGGAAGCCACCGGGAGGAGCAACATCCTCACCCAGCGGCCATTGGCCGCACAGGCTGCCGTTCGCGCCCTCTCCGAATCTCCCCTGCAAGGAAGGTTTGAAAGTTGGGCGGGTGGCAACCCTCGGTGAGTTGCGGGCGAGCGGGAGCGACTTCGCAGGGGCAGGAACGAAGCGGCTGTGGAGCCCTTGGGTTGAGATCTCGGTTGAGGCAAAAGCCAAGTTAAATACTATGGAAATAATGAAAGGGGGACAAAGAGGCAACGGCAGTGAAGGCTGCCACGGACTCTGCTCCTCTGCTTACTGATTCAGAAGGGAGGGGGGTAAAAAAACCTTTAATGGGGATGAAACGCGCGCGTGGGGCTGCGCTTTGCATTTCCTTGCGTTTCGGGAAAAGCTGCTTGGATTGTAACCATCCATGCGTTTTCTGATTGGTTCGAACAAATATTGATCGCCCGCAATGTGATTTACGTGAGCTCAATTGATTGACGTGTCGCTGAATCGCTTTCCGCTCCCAGCGACTACGTGGGGTTTTTCGCGAGAACTTGAGCAGAATTCCCACCAGTGACCCCGTCTGCCCCTCGCGGAATCCCGTTGGCAATTCATTCGGCCGTCTTTTCTCTCCCCCTCTAGAAATCGCATTTCCCTCCCCTCCCTCTAGATTTTCCTTCCCGTGACAGTTGCGTTTCTCCTTTCCTACAAGCTGGGGGGTGGGGCGAGTTATTCCACGCAGACTCGTGATGCAAAAATTTCCACGCCGGTCTGTCCCTGCGTTCTCCAGGCGCTAGACCTGAGCATCAGCGAGCCTCCGCAAATAAGGAGCCCGTGGAAGGACTCCAGCTTGTGTTATTTCCCCACCGTGGAATAGGATGGAAAGCCGGGCTTGCATAGGAAGGGGCAGGGGAAGAGGACAGTTGTGACGGCGCGCTTCCCTTTAAAGGAACGGCGGGAAAACTTTGAGGGGGAAAAAGAGTGGCAGGTTAACGGCACATTAATGGCTGGGATATAGGAAGGGTCATTAATTTGCCTGGCTGCTTATACTTCCATCACCCTCCCCGACCCCTCAAGTCCAAATGCCCGAGTCTTCCTCCAGGGCAGAAGCTAGAAAGGAGTTTTGCGCCTCTCTCGCGCAGGCGCTGTCCGGGGATAGTAGCGCGCGGGAAAGAAACGCTGCAGAGCAGCTTTCCCGCCCCTGGGCGAAATAAAGCGCGCTTCGCTTCCAGGAAAGAGCCCCGTGCAAAGGCTTCGTGGCGTCTTAACGGGGTCATCCTGCTGACGCTCCCCGCCTGGCTGTTCTTTTGATACCATGATGGTTGGAAAGGCCGGCTGAGGTGGAGTTCTTTGAGTGTCCTCTGCTAAAAGAAATGCTTTATTGAGGAAACCTCTTCCCTCTGCGCGCTTTGGCTGAATGCGGGCCGCCGCTGTGGGAATGATGCGAGTTAAGCCTCGCGAGAGCGGATCTTCCAGCCCAGGGGTCTCCAACCTTGTCCACTTTTAAGACTTGTGGACTTCAGCTCCCAAAGCAAAGCTGGCTGAGGAACTCTGGGAGTTGAAGTCCACAAGTCTTAAAGTGGACAAGGTTGGAGACCCCTGTTCCAGCCCATGGAGCTTGCACGGCGGCGGTCCGAACTCGGCTAAAACGCTCGGCTGGGTGAGGGAAGGGCGACATGCAGAGGGGCAATGCAGGTGGCGTAAGCCTCGTGCTTCCTGGTTGCCTCCCGCACACCGCCCCCTCGCCCAGCAGCTGCGGAGAATCCGAGCAGGGGACGAGGTGCGGGCTGGCGGGGAGCCGAGGGGTGACGGCTCTGCCCTGGCTGGCTCACCTTTCCCTCCTCTGCCACCAGCCGCGGGAGAAAGGTAAGTTTTACAGCCTAGCCCAGAGCTGCTGGCGGGGTGGGCGCTTGAAGTTCCCAGCCCTTTCCTTTCCCCAAAAGAGGGAGGGGAGGAAGTCCCGCCCGCAGCCCCTTTGTTTGACCTGGAACCTCGCCTGCCGGCTTTTCCAGGCAACGCGGGACCGTGTGCGAACGGACAATCGCACCCCGGTCCCCACTGGGACTCTGGCCGGGAAGTAAGTTAACGAGCGACGATCAGTGTCTTCACTTAAAAACTGACAATATAGCCTGAATTTGGGTGTTGCTTACTTTGCTCTGAATTGAGGATTACTTGCTTTATCTCATATAAAGAAATAGCTGTTATTTAAATACCATGCATGAATATTCCCAATTTCCACATTTTGGATTTCATTCCACAGCAAAGCATCTGCCAGGCTTCAAAGGGGACAGTCTTTTCTGCAGGTAAGACAGGTTCAAAATTCAGCAATAAACTGTGCTGTAAAATGAAAATTTGGACCTAGCTCTAGTCCAGCAATTTAAAGTTGATATGTTCTTATCATGAGGTCAAAGCCTCACTCTTACTCCTGAAAATAGATGGCTTGATCTTAACTTACAGAGATGATGAAAAAGAAAATATCCCATTTATTCAGGCGTCTTTTCTCTTATTTTGCAACAAAACAAAGTCAACTTGGTTCAAAGTCTTGTACTATACAGTGTATAGGAAAGCTACAACCATCAATAGTTAATCTTGAGGATTGTATACAGTATTACCACAAACAAAATAACAGCTGCTAAACAATGAAAGCAAGTGGATGTTATTACACATATGTCTGATTTGCAACCTACCCAGAAGCTTCACTTTGCACAATATGGTAAGAGAATGCTAGGAAATATATTTAATAGCAAGCAATCTGATTTAGTAGGATATGTACTTGTTCAAAGCATCCTCAACCAGGATGCTTGCATCAAAACAGGATGAGTGGGGAGAAGTCATTGTCTCCTCCTCGTACAACTTTTCTCTACAGTACTTGGTTCCAGAGCTAAGCAATTTGCTGCTATATATTATTGTGAATAGAGTCACTATATGGGATGTGCTGTCCTTTCTGCCAGAAAAATCCCATTCAATTCTTACAAATTGTGTACTCCACACAATTCCAAGTGGCTTACAATGCTAAGATTACAATTATATACAACCACTTCTAGCCAAAATGCAACAGTGTGTATAAATAACTTCTGTCCATCCAAGTAAGTTTAACCAAGCTGATAAAAATCATCCATCAAACAACTGACTGAAAGACAGACTTTGGGCTGTTTCCTGGTTTGATGCAAAAATGGAAGATATTAATAAAATATAATGCACAAAGGTTTTTATATCTTTATCTTTAAATCTTTATTCCTTATTCAACTTCATTATATTCAAGGCACTGTTAAAATTTAAGAGTTTAAATCATGCTTGTTGATGCTACACAGGTCTGCATGTGGTCAGCATCTAGATGTGGGGCTGTTAATGTTGCTAAACAATTCCTTCATGTGATAATACTTGCTAGGACTAGTACATCTGTGGTTCAGCAACAATTTCCACAAAAAATATAAGTCTGCTGGTTCCTCCTACTAGCAATAGAAGAGTTAGAGGATAGGGGCCTGAGGGAAAGGACAATCTTTTTTTATTTTCCATGCTACCTCAGTGAGGCATGGGAGGAATTCCAAGCAGCAGCAAAACTGAACTATTCAATTCAACTTGGTGGTCACGTGACTGGGTGGGTGGTTTGGTGGTCACGTGACTGGGTGGGCGTGACCAGGTAGCCATGTGACCGGCAAACCAAATACAAGTGGTCCTTGCTTAATGGCCAGTTGCTTAGTAAGTGTTCTAATTTATGACTGACCTCCCCAGAGCTACTTGACCTGTTTTTGGACTTTTGACAGCCATGCTGTCAAATGCAGAAATAGCTGTCATTTCAATACCATGCATGAATATTCCCAATTTCCACATTTTGGATTTCATTCTACAGCAAAGCATCTGCCAAGTTTTAAAGGGGACAATCTTTCCTGCAGGTAAGACAGGTTCAAAATTCAGCAGTAAATTGCACTGTAAATGAAAATTTTAAACATTTATTTAATCAATCTAGTAATGAAAGCACTGTATATTTCATAAAACAAATATCAGTTTTACCATGTGATTTTTTTTTATTTCCTCCAAGCTTTCATTTGTTACATCATAAATGATATGATTTCATATCTAAATTAAAAGCAGTTTGGCTTTCCTAATTTTGTTTCATTGTCATCTATCTTAGCATTAGCAGAAAGAATTTCCACTTGTGCAAGATAAAATACTTGGCATTGAGCTGTATAATTATCTATGCCATATTTAATAAGATTCCAGAAGATTCCAGAAGCTGTCAAGACAAAGTCTGTCTGGAAGGACTGGAACAAGGAATTACAGTGGGGAGAAAATAAGAGTTTTTAAATTGGGGGTCCTGTTTTGCAATCATCATTAGATACATTATTGATTTATTATTTTTAAATAAAGATGTAATCATATTGGTTAACATAATTATTGGTATTAAATATAAAATTATGTGGATTGTTCTGTTTTGTATGCCATAAGATTTTTAATATTGCCGGTATTTGAAAGGATATATGTAACCTGGTCTTACTGTGTGATGCCATTTCCTCCCCTATGACTGATTGTCCACTTAGGGAAAAAATGCTCAGTGAATTCCCAGGGGTCTAGACTGGAATGTGAAGTCCAAAAACAGCTTAGTGGCAAACAGTTTCTATAATGTTGCCAAGAAAACTATATGGATATGTCCAAATAGTCCAGGTGTTGAGTTTGACTAAAGATAATTAACTCAGAGAATACATTCTAAAATGTATTAGTTTGATATATTGGTTAAATGCTTTAATTGTCCATTCTCTAGATTTCCTCAGCCCAGATCTGATATTTCTAAATATACGGACCATAACTGATGTTCGCTGATGTATTGCCTTTAAAACTATTAACATAAGTTACTGACTAAAGTGTTACAATTCAGACACTAATCCAAAGTTCGTTCAATATAATAAAGTTAATCCGTTCCATGTTAGAAATGCTGCTTACTGAGTCTGAAGAATGTAACAAATACCCCATGCCTAAGCTCTGCAGGGTTTCCTGCTTCTAAAAGTAGAGAACAAGAGTTCGCCTGGGAGGTTCTGAGGTAGGAGGAGCAAGACTACATTGTTCTCTCCCAGAAAGGCTAAAGTAACTTGAGCAGAATGACAATTATCAAGAACACCTCAGTCAGTAGTGGGCTCTGTAATATTGGGAGGAGGACGATATTCACATCTGTAGCAGCATAAATATTAATTAAGAAAACAAAATAAACTAGAAAGTAATTTTTCACTTTAAAGGCATAGGTCACATGGCCATTCGCATCCATAATTTATGTTAACTATTAAGAACTGATGTGCCAAGTACTTTATGGGTCATTTTTCAGCTGCTTTTACAGCATGAACAGAAACCTGTTGTTTCACCTTGAACTTCTCTGAGTACTGTCAGAAGAATCTTTGCCAGCTGATTTCCTTTTTAAAAAATCCTTTTCAAGACATAAGTTTAGTCTTCTTACTTCCTCGAAATGGATTCATTAAGGGAGTAGATTGTCCTGCTTGGCTTTGTGTAAAATATGCAAGATATTAGTAAAAGTTGGGCCCAAGGAGCTATATGGTATGAGAGCAGACACTTTATATACAATTGGGAACTTTTACTTCTTAATTCCTATGCTTTAAAATAACAGATGACCTAAAATGTTTCATTATCTGAGTTACTCAAAGCATTTCAGTTATTTTTGTGCATTGGAGTGTGTGTGAAACTGGTCTTAAAGCTCCTTAGTAGCCCAGATGCCTTCCATTCTTCAATGCCATATACCCTACCCAAAATGTTCTCATTTCCTTCCTTGGTTTCACTTAGTTTGGATAGTACAAAAAATCTTTGATAGTCTCCTGGGAAGGGGTAGACTGATGTTTGAGTGGCATGCATAGTATGAGTGAAATCATTGTTTTTCTTGGCCTGTTGGGAAGTATGCAGGTATATTAAATAATTCAAATGAAATGGAAAAGGGGATTTGCTCATTAATTTTCATGTGTCTGTAATGCCAAGATTTCATTAATTGTAAAAGCCCTTTAAGCCGTTTTCTTTTTATTATTTTGTAAACTAAGAAACTACCATGCAGTAAATTGGCAGGCACAACCCCCAGCTTTCTCTGAAAAACATGCAGGTCTCAATTATATTTGTTCACTAATCTGTTAAAATTATCTTTGTAGGGGTCATCTTATATTATCTTGATCTATGCAGAATTACTAACATTACTTACTGAATGTATATTTAACATTTGGGGACCAAGAGGTCTGCAAAATAGTATCAAAGTTGGGTGTAGAACATTTTGATAAGAAACCTACTCTGTCTTCATTAGCTGTACCGGTGAGAAGTGGGAGAAACTTAAATGAAAGATATTTATGAAAAGTCCTACTGTCTTGCCAATCTTTAAATACCTTGAGTATGTAATGAACAGGGATCGTGTTTATAAGCTAACCAGCATGCACCAAATGGTAGTACTTGGAATTATTATACCACTTTTGTGTAAAATGTCCAGCTGAATTAGTTAAAGAGTAGGGTGGGATCTTGGACTATATTTCATTGGAGGGAGGGAGGGAGTTATCCCTTCTTTGCAAGAATTATATTTAATTTATGGTCAAATTCTGATGCTGACATAGTTATACGGAATACTTGAATATGCATATTACATGGACATTATTTATTTTATTTTAAAAGCTTTTGGATTTGTGAATGCTGAGAATTAACAGTGTTTCTCTTGTTCCAAACATGTGGTTTCTGGATGAAGTATTGCAGCTCAAGGATGTCCTTAGTTTAAAAGTTGAATTCTAACTGCATTTGTTTCTTGCTGTTATGGGTTTTGCATGCCAGTGCATGTTTCCGTAATCTTTGATATCTATTTTGCTTTTTTGTCCTTGTCACAAAATATTATTTAGCAAACAAAAACAAAAGGACAAGTGCAGTAAAGTAGTGGTGCATTTTGATGTATGGATTGCATTTTATTCCCTCCTTACTTTTGATAGACAAAGCAATTCCATTTTAGGAGCTACTATGATAATGCATCTCACAAAAACTACACAAATTTTTAATTCAGTATCTCGTAATGTCATAAAAGTTATTAATAGTTGCTAAGAGAAAGGCTTTTTTCATTTGTTCCTCCTCCCCCCCCCCCTTTTTTTTTTTAAAATTCCGTTAAGGTGACAGGATGGTTGAAGATAGTGGAGTCTCTAACTCAAGCATTGAGTTTTGGCTGAACAAAACTCTTGAGTGGGATCAGATCACTACTTTAGAATCTCAGCAAGATGTCTGCCTTCACTTGCCTGAATTACAGGAATTTCTCCTGCAGATTTATGGAGCTTTGAAACATATGGTAAGTGAATTAACTGAAAGAATGAACTGTTTTGAAGACTGCTACAGAAACATTCTGCACCCCACATTTTGACAAGATAAAAAGCTAACAGTAGCAGAGAGCCTTGTAGTAGTGACCTAATGTATTGCTGGATCATAGAAGCAAATTGGGGAAACAGCCATAGATAATGCAAACAGGAATGTGTTTCCTGTGCTCCTGATTTATTATAAAATGAACCTTTTCTTTTTGATTGGCTATATTCTCACATGAGATTTCCTATCCAATGCAGCAAGCTTTTTAAAATACTTTAAACAAGTATTTAGTTCTCATTCTCATACCATATATTTCATTAGGTACAGATCCTTAACTTATCATCCTAAAATTATAAGTGATCTCTTAAACCATGAAGTCTGCTGACCTATAAACTTCATTGGTATTGCTTGCAAAATGTTTTCAGATCACCATTATGTGATCACAGGCAAATATCTAGTTTGCTTCTATTATTCTCTATTCTCTATTATTAGTCATAATAATTTGTAGAAGGCAAATTGCAAGTAATTAGCATATTGTTATATGTTGTGTGCAATAAAATATATTTTGTTGATAATGGCAGTTAGCTTATAAAATTAGTATAACTAGTCAGGAAAGCATTTTTGATCAAATAATAAGTGGCAGATTAGCTACTGAAAAGTTTATTTTGTTAGCAGTTGCCTATGTTTCTGAGGACATAACTTTTTCCCTTGAAATTTCTAATTGTACTGATTTACTTATGAAACTTGGCTTCAGATGGACCTCCTGTATTGGACTCCATAATGTCTAGGGTTTGTTCCAAATGTAGATCAAATCTGAAGAATTTATTGTAGTGAGAAGGATGATTATCTTTACTGTTACTTGCATATTGTCTTGGTTTACTGCCATTTTAAAAGCTATTTTAATATCAGTAATTAAAGCTACAAAAAAGAGAAGATGGAAATGCCTGATTGTGTAAGAATGTTCATTAACTGTACCATGATTTACTTTTATAGCAAAGCTTCTTTCCATTTGGTTAATTTTTCTTTAGGTTTTGTAGGTATAGTGTCTGTTAAATTTCAGGTTGCAACTCATATGAAATGTAGTAAATAGTAATTGAAATATTAAGATTTCTTTCTACTGTGGTTGAGCTCAGTCCTTTTCATAATATATAGAATGATGTAATCAGTATGACTTTTCAGTAATTTGTTTTATTATTCACTTACATCTTGAAAGTTAAGAAAAACCAACAAAAAATAGTTTTCTTAGTATATTTTTCTGTATTTTTTCATTTCCCCCCCTCTCTTTGAAGGAGATAGGAAGTGTCTAAATTTCATATATAAAATAAGTAAATAATAATTAATTAGAACGTCTTCTAAAAAAGCATTGTGTTGATCCACAAAAAGTTGGATTGGGTGGAAAGATGTTAAAATATTTTAAACCTCAGTTTATAACTGTAATGTTTTCTTTTTGCTGTGTTGATTTCTATTTTTCAGTTGTATCTCTGTAAGAACAATTGAGTAGACTAGTGGTGTGGTGACTATAGTGTGTAAGGCAGTAGTGTGAACAGCTGTGATTGCATGTGCACAGCTCCAAGTGTGAGGTGTGAGTGTGGAGGAAAGTATTTGGTATGGTGGTCCGGGAATCAGGCCTAAGGCTTGAGGGTACCCAGTGGGAGTGGGAAAAAGCCTGTGGGACACCCAAGGGGGCAGGAAGCAGAATAAATGGGGGAGACTGGGGCAGGCAAGCCTGTGCTAGACCTCCAAGGGATGCCCTGCCCCGTGTTCCACCTAATGACCTGCATGTTTGTTTAACAATTTATTGGGGAGAGTGAGGATGGGGAGGATTGCTAAATGAGATGCTTCACTTAACAGCCGTTGTGATAAATGACCATAATGAGCAGACTCCATTACTGTATCTCAAGGACTATCTGTACATTTAGGCAGCACTTACTTGTTCCAAAGATACTCTGGCCTTAATTTCCATTTTGCCAATCCCCTACTGTTGTGGACAGCAAATATGTTTTGGCACCCATTAATTTCAAGTCTAAGCATCCTCTTTAATTTCAGAGCTCAACAACTGCAGTCCAAACATTTCCATTAATTGGTCAGTTATTGGGAAGACTTTGTTGGAATCCTTTTGTCATTGGTTACGGTGAGTGTTTATAATGGTTTCTTAAAATAATTGATCATTAAGGGAGTGTTTATTAAAATTACACTTTCAATGTAAGCATCAGACAGTGGTCCATCTAGCATAACTATAGACATTCACTGGCCTCAAGATTACAGACAAGGGTTTGACAAAGAAACATATAGACTTGAAACCAGAGATTTTTTTATTGGGAATTTTACCTGATACATACAGTAAAGATTTAAAATATTTGATTGTAAATGTATTAACAGCGGCTAGGATTGTATTTGCTAAAAATTGGAAAAATGAGAAAATACCATTACAGGAAGAAATTATTAAGAAAATATTGGAATGTGCTGAAATGAGTAGATTGACATTTGAAATTAGAGAACAAGAGGATAAACAATTTTATAAAATCTGGGACCTTTTCTATCAATGGTTAGATAATAAAATACAATAATAGAATACTTAGAATTTTAGAAAATAATGAATATATAAAGATGTATTTCTTTTTTTGTTATTATATTTACAAAATGTTTTTAGGATAGATTTGGGGACGATTATATGAATTGTTATATAATAAACTAAGTAAATTATAGTTATCTCGCAAAGTATGAATGAACAAAATTATAGTCAAATGACTGATTGATAGTGATACTAGGGTATTCAATTTTTGATTGATGAGTTATTATGCAATGTAACTGTAATTGAGACTATGAAATGGATGCACAAAAAATTTGTAAACCAACCGACACACTGCTTGTATATTTATGAAAGAAAGTTGGATGTTTTTATGTTTTGTTTGTCTCTAAAAACCAATAAAACTTGTTTTTTTTTTTAAAAAAAAGATTACAGACAAGGGTTTTGTAATGAAAGCAACGGTTGCCCGAAATAATAAAAAATTACATCAATTAATAGTATCAAATACTTTGTAATAAAATTAAAAGAAAAGAGGTAAAAGACAAAGTTGGACATTACTAAATGTTAATCTATAAAATTTGTTCAATAATATTAAAAATAGAGTTTAGCATTATAGAGCTGGAGTTTCTAGCAAGCATCTGCAGATGCATCTGCAAAATTCCAAAATAAAAATGATGGCAAATCTTCAAGACAAAACTGAATCCTTAAAATAAGATTTTGAGAGTTCATTTCAGAATCTTCAGGTCTCTTGGGTTTTACCATTTTTGTGGATACCCCATGCAGAAATTCTTACTGTATGAAAAGGCTGGGGCGCATCTCTGGAAGTGCAAGGTTCAGTGTCTTTGTAGGAGGAGAATTTATAGCAGAACCATTCTATTCCAGCCAATTCATTCTTTGGCAGGAATTCCAGAGGCAGGTTGTCTTGGCTTTATCATTTCTCACGTTGACTACTGCAATGCACTCTGTATGTAACAACCTTTGTAGGCTCCCCTATTAGATGCAAAATGCAACAATTTACCAGTGCCTTATGTCTATGGAGATTCTCAGTCATCCAGGTCATGGCTGTCTAAAAGCTGCTTTTTCAAGAGGTAACTGGACTTTCTGTTTTTTCTTTGAAGATGTTTCGCTTCTCATCCAACAAGCTTCTTCAGCTCTTTCCCACCATCCAGTCAGAACTGAAGAAGCTTCTTGGATGAGAAGTGAAATGTCTTCAAAAAAAAAACACCAAAAAAACCCACACCAGAAAGTCCAGTTGCCTCTTGAAAAAGCGCCTTTGGAACTACCAGTGCCATGGTTTTGAGAGTTCTGCAGTAGTTACCAGTACGTTTCCAGGTTTAACTCAAAATACTGGTTGTAACATGTAAAGTCCTTTTTATCTTGGCATTTACCAGTATGTGCCCCAAGAACTGCTTATTCTAGGTAGAAGTGACTCACCTAGTATATTCAGCCATATTAGTTTAGAGCATCACTTCCAAATGAGAACAGAAAAACCAGAACATGCTGCTTCTCACTAAATGCTGTATTACACTACATTATGGAAATACCCTTGTTGCAGCAGATCAGGACACAAGACCACGAAGGGTAGGAGAATACAGGTTTATTTGCGCAAAAGGTTCAGAGCATTAGCATGGCAAATTCTGAACCCCCGGCTATTCCTGAGGGGGTTACTTTTATACAGCTCCCAGTCTCAGCGTACTACAAAAGGGGAAGTAAGTCTACTTAATCATTCATTCTTATTCTTCTGTTTCTTCTGTTATTTTCCATACCCACCCTTGCTTACAGGAACATGTCTAGTTCTTAGGTTCAGCCGTTTAGTGGTTTTCACAATATCGTATTAAGCAACTTCTATAATATTTGCGATATAAGCTAAGAAACTTCTGTTAATTATAAGAATACTTTTCTGGTAACTTTCCATTCTGCTTCACCCTCATTCCCACAGATTCAAATGGCCTCATTCACCACCCCAGATAATTTGTCAAACGGCCTTGAAGACAAAATCCTTTCACATAGTTTTAAAATGGATGTTAAGGAATGTTTATAGAATCCGAAATGTTATAAGAGCAGGAACACTATGTTTTATGGATTTATATACAGGCTCCTTGAGTTATGATGGCAATTGGGACTGGAATTTGTATCGCTAAACATTGTGTGCCTGACTAGGTCCTTTGTGAGGCTGTGCAAGGGACAGCAGGAGCTATAGGGAGAACCGGGCTGCACAGGGCAACAGGGGCTGGGGCTGTAGGGAGCCAGAAGGGCAGAGAAGAGGGAGAAATAGGGCAGGTAAGGGAGATGAAGTCATGTGGGTAGGCTGCCAATCACCCACATTTTGATCATGTGATTGAAAGAGGGGTGCAATGGCTATAATTTCAGGGACAGGGAGTAAGTATCAATCTTTCAGGGCCACCATAATTTTAAACAATCACTGAATAAATGACTATAACTTGAGAACTTCTTGTAATTTGTAGGTCATCTTCTGCAGTTTGTAATATAGTAATGATGTAAATACATAAACAAGCAGGATTGCTAACAAAAGTGGTCCTACTGTTTACACTATCAAAATCCTTTCACAAATGATACCATTGTAAGCAAGTAGTATCTAATACCGCAAAACCGTCTTAGGGTTTAAGTGGTTATTCATCCATATAGACTTTTAACATACAGTTTTATAGTTCTATTATAGTGTGGCAAGTTTTGAATGTTTGAGTTTGGACTATTTGAGAGGAATTCTTTATTAACAGAACAATTGTAATTAAAGGTTTCAGTACATCAACCTTTGAGTACTTTTGTCACATTGTTTTTTCTTTCACTGATATCGGTAGCAGGGAAAATGGACGAGTAAAATGGCTGCTCTTAATTTCACTCTATTGGAATGACAAAACAGTCGGTAGTGGTGAGAGGAAGTAATTATGAAAACAATATTCAGGGTTAATTTTTATGTTAGAAAAATAAAACAATGCAAAAATTTGAATTTAATGTCATAAAACTGTTCTATGTATATAAATACATTTTAAGTATAGTTTTATCAAGACAATAAGTTGCAAAAAAATAAGATGGCTTGATTCAGAACAAGTTAGATTGAAACAGATAGGATTTAAGTTTGTCACAATTAACTAGGTTCACATTGAATCAGCAAGGCAATCAATTAAGCCCATCTCCAAATACATTAAAATATGTTTTATATTAAGAAAAGGAAGAATGAAACAGTCTATATGTGATGAATGAAATGACTTTGAAAGAATGGAATAGAAGAAAAATAACCATAAAAATTTACTATGTCCTTGGTTTTTTGTTTTTGTTTATTAACATGAGCAAAAGATTCTTCTTGTCCTGCTTTGATTTTTTTAAAAAAATATCCTTATTTGGATTGGTATCCACAGATGAATGCCAGAAGATTCTGATATGCTGCTTATGTTGTCTGTACAGTGGTGAACCACAGAACCCTCTGGAATTGAAGGCCAACAGCTGGATACAAGTAAGCAAATGAATCCTCCCCTCAGCTGTTTTACATTAACTTAATTATTTAAAGGTGCAGCATCTACAGCATATAGACACTGTGTCATTTTTGGAAACCACTCTAGAGACATACTAGATTCACATTGTATTGAAATGTATTCTCCTTTAATTAAAGTACAAACTCTGCTGTCTCTCATTTTGAACATTAAAAAAGATGTGGTGTTTAAAACCAAAGTAATTGTAATCGCCCTTAATTGAATGGAGCCTAGATTCTGGCAACTTTAAGTAAAGAACAAAGTCCACAAATCAGCAAGCAAGAGAGTGCTATAAAAGCAAACTTTCAATTAGGGGAAAAATAAGGCAATCTGGATAGAAGCCCTTGTTTGTTTTGAAAACCATTTATATATGCTCTATAATTTTGCTTTTATTTTTGTTTAATCTTTCTAGCCTTGGGATAAGCTAATAGTATCCAAATTTTATTCACAGACGACTAAAGAAAACACTTGTCGGGCTCTGAGTGCGGCGTCGCTCACCTCTGAGCCTGCCACTTCACCAGCCGGGCTCAATGACTGGCTGAGAACACTTGTGTGCAACCTAATTTTTTTAGTTAGTTCTGAATTAAAATTAGTCTGCAGTTGCTTGAATTTTATATTGCACAATCTTTCATGTAAAGTCTGATGTCATTTTTTCCTAAATAACCCCCATTTTTAAAAGACAAACCTGCCTGATCAATTTATTCCACCATTAAGTAAAACAGATAGGCTCATATACAGAAACATTTTCTCTTTAGACAACTAGGTGCATACTTTATAATTAATATACTCTGGGGATCGTGATGGAATATTAGTTTATTTTGTGGAATAATACTAGAAATAAGTGAAGTTGAATCTGTTAATGCAGGTTCTGTTGAGATACTTATCAAAATTGGGGTCTGCTTTGAAGTATGAAAACTTGGTTGAATAATTCATAGTAGACTGATGCAGCTTCATTCCTTCTCATGAGCTCTGAAACTAAACAAATTTCTATTAAGCATGGTTTGCATGTCACATTCTTTAATTTGTGTATAGGTAACACGTGACTCCATCTCATTAACCCAATCATGGCTTAGTTTCACACAACAACATAATTTGAAGTGCTCTTTGCTTAGTGGATACAAGTAGTCCTTGTTTAGTAAACACCTGTGCAACAGTTGTTCAAAGTTGCAACTGATTCTTGAAGTTACAGTTATTATAGTGTCTTACAATCATGTTATTGCCATTTGTGATCTTCCTTGCCAGCTTTCCAGAACCAAAATCATTGGGAAAGCCAGCAGGGAAGGTCGCAAGTTGCTATGGTAAGTCCCTTCCTCCTTCCTGCACACCGTGCCACATCCTCCCTCAATCTTTCTTTGCTTGCACTAACCCAGGGCCTCCCTGCACTTGGAGGACTCAGACTGAACTGACTCTAGGCTTGTGTGGGCCTGTGCCTTCCTTTCCTCAGCCTCCCTACATTCATGCCACATCACAGAACCTCCCTCTGCCAATTTACATACCACCTGCAGCAAGCTTCCCAGGGACTCTCCTGCCCTTCTGTGGTACCACTGCACCTTTTACTTGGGACTCTTGCTGCTTCCTGCCTAATGACTTGTGTATCTTGGGGATTCAACGGCAACCGAGACTGCCTAGATTGTCGTTGCTAAACAAATGCAGTTACATGACGTACTTTATAACCACATTGCTTAATCCCAGTTGTAATCACTGTCTTAACTTGAGGACCACCTGAATGGTTTCTAACTAAGACTTCATTTTGCTCTGAACCTGTATGAAAGGGTTGGGAGACGGCTGTTTCTGGGAGAGATGGCTTCTGGTTAGTCCTTCAAGAAACTGAGAGCATCAAAATTTTTAGGGACCAAAAAATTAATTTCCTAAGGAATATCTTTTCGATTTTCAATTGTGTAGGGACCAGCCATTTGCCTGTATTCTGCCTGGCAACAACTTCAACTCCTTGCTTCTGTTGTAAGTCTCAGTATTAATCATTTGATAATTTAAAAGAACTACTTTAAAAAAAAGCAAAAGAAGTAAAATCAAACATTAAAACACAAAATGAAAAGTTGTTTTGAAGCCATTTATAAAGGAAACACATTTGAAGCTTGTAAATCGTGAAATCTAAAAATCCTTATAGAACATGCTTTCTTCGCAAAAAGAAAATTCTAAAAAAAAAAATAGAACTGCCATTTTTATGATAGTTATTCCTTCATTAATTTTCATTTCCAGCTGGACTTTTTCATTTAGCACAATTTGCAAACACAGCCGTTCTACTCAAAAGCAATTATTATTATCAAAAAAATTCAAATAATGTAAAATTCAGAAGCATGCATTAAATCTTTGTATGTAAGTCAAGAGTTTTTTGTATATGCTAACTAAATTAACATACTAAAGTAATAGCAATTAGTTTGTAATTATGACAGTAAGCTTTGGGCTTTTACATTTTTTTCCTCAAGTGTCATTATGAGAGGGATTTGAAAATGTTCACTTTCATTTTACATTGATGTGTGACCCAACAATGAGAAAGATGTGGCAGTAGCAAATTGCAAATTTTTCAGCTAGTGATGAAATAGTTGGGAGATCTTAATTACCCTGACATCAGTTGGGAAATAAAGTGTAAGCATGTCCCCCTCCCCCAATGCAATTGCATCATTTTTAAGGGGAGAGAAAATGAACCAGCTAGCCTGGAATTGACCTTAGGTAGGCTTAGGATCTACGGGTAGACTTATTGGTTAAAGTAAAAGTAATGTGGATGTAAGGGAAAGAGACCATGTAATGTTGGGATTCTTGATTGTAATCAGAGCTGAGGCTGGCTGTAGTCAAATATACTATATACACTGAACTTCAAGGAAGCCTGTTTTAATAAACTTTAAAACATGATAAAAAGTACTCCATGCCAGGAAAATGTCAATAGGAAAAGACTCGAGATGGGTGGGAGTTCTTAAAGTAAAAGATACTGAAAGCACAGTAGCAAATTATTCTGAAGGGGGGGAGAGAATATCAGTCAGCAATATAGCTACAAAAATATTAGCTAAGATATGAAAATAAAGATAATAAAATTGGGCAGATACATTTTATAGTATATTCTTTCAATTGTAAACTTTAATTATAAACTATTTTAAGAGAGTTCTTTTAATGGGAAGCGGTTTTTGAAAAATGAACAGAATGCCAAGGAGTACATACATGTAGCCAGGAAATGATTCAAGAAAGGTTAACACTCAGGTTAAACTGAGATTGGCAAAGAGCGAAAAGAGCTGTTTTGGATATGTCCAAAATAAAAGACGAGAGAAAGAAGCAAAATGGCAGCTACTCAGTGAAGATATCACGTGGGATATTTAAACTACTATTTTTAATTCCATCCTCTTTGGGAAGAGGATATACATTTTATCAGGCAGCTGCTTAAAAATCAGGATGAAGGAGTAGGATTAAAGTTTAGACTAATAGAAACATGATCAGGGAATGCTTACTTGGCTGAAGTTTAAATCTCTTGTTCTGAAGATAGTTGCTAATGAACTATCCAACTTTCTGTATTCTTTTTGAGAAATTTTGGAGAGCCAAACAGTGGCAAACAGCGAAAAGGACAAAACTTGTATCTGTCTTCAAAAATGGTGAAAGGGAAGATCAAAATCTGTCATTGTACTATTGTTACCTGGGGTGGCTTAAATTGCAGAGAACACTGTAGAACTGTTTTTTTGGTAAGAGTTTTACAAAGAGTGTAGAGGGAGGTTGTGATTAGTGTGAGAATATAATACATTCCGACAGTCGGGCCTCCTCCACAGTCACATGACAGAACTTTGGGAACTTGGCTGCATTTTACAGTGGTTTTCCATTTCAGGCAAAGTCACACCCATAGTGAACCTTTGGTTCACTAAATGACTGCTGTATTTACTTAATGATGACCTCAAAAAATGTCATCAAATTGGATTAGTCACATAATTGACCCATTTTATGACCATCATGACATAAAACCATAGTAGGCAGGTTCCATTATAGTCATATGTTGAGGATTAAATGAAGTTGTTAAAGGGTCTAGTAGCAAGAATATCTTCAGATGGGTATTTCCTGTTCATCTAAGTAGCCAAAGTATCTCCATTCTGAGAAAATGTGTATTTACAGCTTTTTAGATCAATACCTTGACTTGAAAGCCAATGCAGATATTTCAGTATTGGATTATAAATCCCTGTATTTTACACCAGTCAATAGCTAGCCATTGCATCTTGCATAATTTGCAGTTTTCATAGAACACAGCAGTAATCAAAGTGGGTTGTAACATAGGTATGGATAATTTTTGCTAAATCCAGCAAACTCAGGAGGAAAAGCAGCTAACACATTAACTATAGTTGTAAAAAACATGCCTTTTTCAACCCAATGACAAATGGGGCTCCAAGACCACTTCCAAAGTACAAACCTGTTGCTTTGTGGGGAGTACAGCCCCATTCTGAGCAAGTTTCAGCTTAATCTAGAATCTAGTTTTCTTTTTTCTTACAAATATCCATTGTGTCTGGATTTAATTTCAGTATATTATCTGTCATTCAGTTCAATATCAAGTTTAAACAGTATATCAAGAGTTTCATTACAATATTGTTTCATTACAATGATAAGGCAAGGAGCAACAGAAAAGGTTGTTATCAGCAGACAGATGGCACAACTCCAAAACTCCGCATGACTATTCCCAATGGTTGCATACAAGTTAAACAATATAGGAGACAAGATATATAACCTGAGGGACATAAGAAATCTGTGACCTAGTTGTCTAACAATGGTCCCTTAGCACCCTCTTCTGGACACAACCTGATAGGGAGGAGCTGCACCACAGCAAAACAGTGCCCCCAAGCCTTTTCAAGGCAAGCCATAAATATTCATTGAGTCAATGTTACTGAAATCTATTGAGGAACATAGAGAAGTAGAAGGTCTACATTTCCCCACCTGCTTCCATCAAGGTGACTAAAGCCATTTCACTCCCATATTCTGAATCAATACCAATTGAAATGGATTC